GGAAAGAGCAGAGGACGTGGTCGGGAGGGGACAGGGAAGCTGAGACCTGCAGGATGCGGAGCCAGTCCCGTGGTGTGATGGTGTCGGCAGATGGCACAGCACGTGCAGATGCCTCGAGGTCCTGAGCTGGAGACCAGAGGGTGGAGCGAGCAGGATGAGGAATTGGGGGGCCAGATCTGGGAGACTGGATGGAAACTCCCGAGAATAAACACAAAGGGATAGGAGTCTGCTGAAGTGAAAGGAGACGCAGAAGCACAAGAGGCCAGGTCTCGGGGTGAAGCAGCAGCTCCAGAGCGCTCCCTTCGGGGGCCTCTTCCTCAGATTCGTTACCCTATTTGTGGTCCACTTGGAACAGGGTTGAGCTTCCAGAAGTACTTTTTTTGTTGTTGTTTTCTGCATAGGGTGGGCTCAGGAAGGTGGAGAAAGATGGAGGCTGTGGACCCAAGAAGCTAGTCCCAGGGGTGCCTTGGAAGCTGCTTCCTGGAGACGTTGTCAGGTCACAGAAGCATCTGAATCTGAGACGATGAAGTCCTGTCCCGTGGAATGTCCACAAGGAAGGACCACTAGGCCCAAGTGAGCCTTTTGCTGAAAGACCAAGTTTGTGTTGATTGAGATGAAATACCAGTTAAAAGATAGAGGAGCACTGAAAGCATGAGCTGCGTGTGTCCATGCTTCTGGTTGAGTCTAGAAGAGTAGTTATCCACCCTGACACACCTGAGGGATACCACACACACCTTCAGCAAAAGCTCAACATGGACATTATACCTTTCCCCTCCTCACAACTCCCTGAGGCCAGTATTATACCCATTTTACAGATGGGGCACCCAAGTGCTAAGAGAAAATGTGACTCCTCTAAAGCTACTAAGGGAGGAGTTGGGATTGGGGATGTGAATGTCCACTTTGGGCACACTGCACCCTTCTAGAGGTGGCCCCTGCCAGTCCCTGCAGCCCGGGCCACGCTGACTGACCTGTTACCCTGTGCCCTTCCTGTCCCACACCTGGACCAAGACCCCAGGCTTCATCACTATAGGAGGGGAGACAGTGGATCTGGAACTCCTTGGGAGTGTTTTTAATCTCAGGTCTTCAAAGGGAAGTCCTGAGAACACCGGAAGAAAAGTTTGTGTACCCTGGAGATCAGGCCTCCTTTTGTCATGTTTTTCCAAACTGTTCCATAATTTCCCACAGAGCTTTTTTCTCTCCACATTTCCCCAGGGGTGTGTTTATAGGGCACACACATGGCAGGTGCTGCCCTGGGCAGGATACAAAGACGAATGGGCTGTGTCCCTGACCCCAAAGCTCTTACAGATGGGGGAGGTGGAAATATTCAGCCATCTGAAGACAGGCCGTAATAAAAATAATCACTGAGGTTCATACCAAGTGCTGTGGAAACGGAGAACTGGATTCGTTAGTACTTGGAGTGGGGGGAGGTGGGAAGTTTTCCAGCAGAGATGGCGTTTAAGCTGGCATGGGAGCAACTAGTGTGGAGCATGGGTGGTGGGAGATGGGAGGTGGCTAAGGTGTGTTTTGGA